ATGTTTGAGCCTATGAAGCTTTTTAGCTTTAAACAAGTGATGAAAATGATTTGACATAATAAATGATAATGGTACAATATTGTCTGAGAGCAGACGCAGAATGCAACATGTGACCTTTTGTCAATCGTGAAATTTGAAATGCATTAAAAACCAGATAAATCTGTTTTCAAGTGTTTGGAAAATGATGTGTCATTTTTGCATCAAAATATCAATTGCTCCATTTTGCCCGTTACGGTGCAATGTTGCTTTGAGGAAACAAACTCTTAATTAATTAATAATGAAAATGTATATTGATTTTTGTGAAAGTGTCCAGTTTTGAGAAAAAAACAATATATATAACAATGGGTACCATAGATGAATCTGAGTTGTATAATGTGTTTGATTTCTCAGATATTAGTCATTCCATATCAAATCACCCATTTTGCAAATAAATTCCCTGGTGTCCCTCTCAGATTGTCCAGAAAAGAAAATAAGTTTTCCTTTTCCAAACTTATGGAGAAATCTCAAATATTAGGTCTGTATCTCTATTAATTTTGAACCAACAGCCTTTTAAAATTTTAATTAATTTTATGCATTTTACTGACTTAGAGTTTCGGTCCAGCTTTTAACATTCATACCTCCTATGAAATGACATGTACAACTTTGAAAAACTTTGAGAAACTTTGTGAATAGGACTAATTTTGTCTGTAGAATTAAAAAATGTAATCAGATCTGGTGATGATGCTTTAATATGTTTTTGACAACAAAATTGTGTAACTTGGAATATATATATAGTTTCACTATCTGTGTGCAGAATTATTAGGCAAGTGTGCATTTTACTTGTATCTTCTCATCCGAACAATATTTTCAGTCCAGATGAATATCTAATTAAGAATCAACTGTTTAAACACAGAGCGTGTTCAGTATTTGGTCTGAGTACTTTCTGTTTGGATAAAAACATGAAAACACAGATACTTTCCTGTGCAGGGAAATAATGGGCCAAAGAGGACCATACAGAGAGCAGGAAAAAAACAAAATAGTAAAGTGCCATTGTGAGGGATGCAGACTTTTGAAACATGATCACTGTACAATCACGTGTTTTGTTGCCAACAATCAAACAGGACTGAAGAAGCATGTAGAAGATGACAGACATAAACTGCCAAAGTTCTGTGTCAAATTAAAAGGGAGACTTCCAGAAACTGAAATGCTATCATTTTTCAAAAGTGCAATCTGAACAGAATCTCTGGAAGTACTAGATGCAGCATGCTGCGTGACATTCCTAGGGTCACAAATGCTGAAACATAACCTCCACTCAGTAAGGCACACAAGGTATAACATTAAGAATGGGCACAGACACGTCTCAGGATTGACGGTGCAAAGGTTTTGGGGACAGATGAGATGAAAGTGACTCTTAATGGAGCAGATGCACGGGCCAGTGGATGGAGATCCTCTTCACGCACCAACAAGGTGGTGGAGGAGAGATGACATGGGCTGCAAAAACTTTCAGACTTGCAGATGGTGTAAAAATGAACTACAAGGTCTACAGGCAATTTCTAGAAGATACCGTCTTCAAACACTGGCACAAGAAGAAGTCAGCAGCTTTCAGAATGGTTATGAAATTCCTACAGGACAATGCCCCTCCCCATGCATCAAAGTATTTCATAGATTGGCCTTGAAAGGCTTGAACTGTGATCGAATTATGACCTGCCCCCCTTCATCGCCTGAATCAACTCCATTGAGAACTACTGGGCCTTACCAAAGTGTGAGATTTACCAAGGTAGCAAGCAGTACCCTTTTTAGAGCAGCATCTGGGAGGTCCTAGCTGGCTCAGCTAATATAGGACGGGATCAAATCAAAAATCTCATTGGTTCAGTGGGCAACAGGCTCATGATGGTCATTGAGAAGAAAGGTACCTATACTGGACATTACACTTGGTGAAGTGGGCTGTATAGAACGATTGATAGCTTGCTATTCCTTATATATACTGAATAACAAAAATTGTTTCTTATTTATGCTAATAGTGGAGAGAAAATCCACTGGTTTCTGATTGCATAATTCTGCACACTGATAATCTAGCATTTTTCTTTTACTTTTGTTTGCAAAAGTCTAATGTAACATTTTCTCTCTAAATAAATGTAATTGACACACATGTTTTTTATGTTTGCCCAACTTTTGCTAAAAATTTTCTCCAGGAATAGTACTTGCCTAATAATTGTGCACACAGTGTATTTTGAACTAATTTATGAAGGGGGAGTATGTTCCTGTTATTGACATAAGTCTATGTGGCAATTCTGAAACAGTGAACAACAAAATATTTGTATTGCAACAACAGCATAACTCATTCTTTAAAGAACAAAAATCATACATATAGCAACACCACTACATTATCAGATAGATAAGAATACATCTCAAATTTATCTGTTTACTGCATGGGTCAACAATGAGCCTACATTTTGAATTTGCGGTTGTTTCAAACAGCTGATTCTCAAAAATTGTACTGTTCAGCCTGGCTCAATTAGGTGTAAAACCATCGTCCAATGCAACTAAAAAGTTGTCCACGTGTTGCAGAGACAGGCAGGGCTGTCTTCTGTGTTCAAAGACTTGGCTTTCTTTGTACAGAACACTGATGGAAACCTGTGGTGGGAAGCTTTGCTGGTGACACTAGGAGAGATTTTAGTAAAGCTAAAACTAATGTTTTACTACCGCAGCACCAGTTAATACAGAGGGCCTCACTCACACAGCAACAGCAGCATTACAGAAGTCAAATAACAGCAGTGATAGCTTATAATAACCTAGCTAGCTAAAACTGCAAACAAAGTAGTTTACCCTAGTAGTGTTGATAGCTAAAATATGTTAAACATTATCACAGATTGAGAGCTTTGCTGAATGTATAACATTCATAGCACGTTCATAGCTAACCAGCCAAGCTGAAATTAATTTTATCTTGTGGTTTTATTGTTTAAGACTTACCTCTTTGTTTCTTCAAATAAAACATCATATTCTTGAATGCAGGCATTTCAGTAGTCTCAGGAAGACAAAGCTGACATGACATGACAATGCTCTACCATACTTGCGTTACCATGGATACTGTAATTCTACACTCACCTAAAGGATTATTAGGAACACCTGTTCAATTTCTCATTAATGCAATTATCTTATCAACCAATCACATGGCAGTTGCTTCAATGCATTTAGGGGTGTGGTCCTGGTCAAGA